GAAAAATCCCATCTTGCACGGAGGTTTTGCTTATCGGTATGTGGCCTCCTGGGTGATGGGGTTTTGTCTTAAGTGATGCATCGACAGCCTCGACTCGACGCGAAGGTCTCGTTCGTTCCCGATTTCCATGGTAGATGGGAAACCTTTGGTACCTCTCGCTGCGGTGAAAAATCTCTCCTCTTTTCGAAGTTTCGAGGGCACCGAACACGGCGGGGTATCTGCCTTACCGATCGAGGTCTTTAGAATGAAGTTACCCGCGTCTCGGAGGTGGTTCGGCTATCTGGGGATCTTTGGGGAAATATCGAGATGCATCTTGCTTGACCATTTCGGGTCGAGGGGGTGGAGGCGGGTGGGGAGCAGGTTCAGGATGCGCGCGCACGGGAGATCCATGATCTGGTTAAGGGCGATCGAGAATGAGAATGTTATTAATCGGGGTCGATTTTGTTAATCCCGAAGAACAGAGATTCGTAAGGAGAGCGTCGCTTCGTCTTGGCTTCTGGCGTAACCGTACGTCACATCTCCCACTTTTTAAAGTGCATTCCGTGACATTTAGTGGAGAGGGTAATCACTCATCGCGCACTTTGTACGTGTATGTAAATATGTATGCCCCTTGAATGGTAAATGGGTAGGGACGGGTTTTCTCCGCGCATGCATGGGTGCGCGGAAGATTGATGGTTGATAAGTTTCGGGCTACGGAGGGGCCTAGATCGATGGATAGGTCAAGGGTTTGGAGTTGTCGTAGCTCGCCGATCTGTCCGATCATCGATACATCGGCTTCGATGAAGACGACGCGAGATACATGCGATGACGGAACAAATTCAGATGTACGGGACGCCGTTGAAAATGACGCTCTCCTTCGAAACCCTTCATACGCCTTTCCTGGCACGTCCTTGGCTTGTCGGGGTAACGAAAGACGTATCGATACGATTCCGGTGAACTATGGGTTAATTGGCCCACGCGTTCTCCCCCGACTAATCCCGGCATGAATTGCCGGGATCGGTGGCAGAGCGGTATAATTAACGGATATGCACAAAAGCCCGGAGCAAACACGAGGGATCCCCGCAAGATGGCCGAGCGACCCTCCGGGGAGCTCGATGGCGAAATTCCGGAAGTCCTGCGGGATCGCTCGGAGCTTTTTACGCGGGACACCGTGGCCCGACAAATTGTGGTCATCGGTCTGAAAAGTATCCGGGAACAAAGAAGCGGCCGATCGGAAAGAGGACGGTGGTGCATTCGTCGGAATTGGAAGGCGATCGATTCCCCGGATCTACCGGAGCGGGGTTAATCGTCCGAGTCGCACGAGCTCCACGAGCCGACGCGGACGACCGACATTTCCGCATGAGATCACACACTGTCCGCGCGCGGGATGAGTCGGATTTTCTATTTTCTCGCCGGGGGACCGCATCGAAAAACCGGACTCTGGAGGCCGTCGACAAAAAACCCCCCGAATCCCGGGGCTTTTTCGCCTCCCGGGTGTCCGCCTCGTTTTCCTGCCGCATTCGCGACCATCTTTGGGGACGCTTCGGCGCATTTTGACGCTCTTGGCGCGGAACTCTGCCCTCCCGTTGCACGGGAATCCGGCGTTCATTCGGGGAGGGGCGAAGAAGCGTCCGGTGGATGTCGTGGATTCTCTATTTTCTATTTCCTTGCCGAGGTATCGCATAGAAAAAGACGCCGAATCTGGGAGCTTTTTCGACTCCCGGGCTCATTTTCTCGAATTCACTTTGAGGACGCTTCGGCGCATTTCGGTGCTCTTGGTGCGGAACTCTGCCCTGAAATCGCACGAGAATTCAGTGTTCCTTCAGGTAGAAGTGGCCAGGACCGGTGGAGGTCATGAATTTTCCATTTTCCATTTCCTCGGCGGAAAATCGCATAGTAAAAACAACCCCTGGAAGTTGCCGATAATGAATTCATGAACTCTCGGAGCTCTTTCGCTTTTCGGGTGTCCGTTCATTTTTCTATCGAATTCACGGCCACTACAGGGACGCCTTAGTGAATTCCAGTGTTCTTGGCGCGGAACTCTGCCCTATAGAATTAACGGTCAACTTTTAGGGTGCTTAGACGGACTCCTGTGTTCTTGGCGCGGAACTTTATTCCGCAAGAGAGCAGGAATTCGGTGTTCATCCGAAGTAGAGGTGACGAAGGGGCGACCGGTGGAGGCTCTGGCTTTTCATAATCGAGAAATAATTGCCGGAGTTTCCGAAATACCGGGCTTCTCGGACATTTCTGCTAAGGCAAAGCCGCCGACTGGCCGGCACGAAACAATGGCGTAAGGTGAGACAAAGGCGTGACGCCATCTTTGCTCTGGGACACGCTCCGCGCTAATTTGGTTAGCGGTTCATGAACGGGATTAAAAATTTACGCACTTACGTGCGAATGCGTATCCGAGCCCCGACTAATGAAAAAGAAAGGACGGTGACTGGCTCGGCCATGAAACTTCAATTAGGTTAAGTGAAATTAGATTTCCTCACCCAAGAGCGCCGATGCAATTGCTCCGAAGTAAAATTCCTCGCGAAGTGGAGTCCTGATGGATTAAACAATTTAGGAGATTTCTCTAACGCGTTAGGAGAGACGTAAAACGTAGAATCTATTATTCCTTTTCGCAAATAAGGGTGACTCGATAGCCCTCTTCCCCCCGGAGTTTTGTATTTGCAATTTAATTTTGCAGGAGCTCGATAATTGGTTTCCATTCTCCTTCGGTTTGAATCCTTTTAATCGGATTTTGGTACTTCATCCTATTTTCTTTTCGCCGTTATTTCACGGTATATCGGCTCGTTTTGATCCGCGATTCAATTGGCTTAACTGAAAGTTCTTTTTTGTTCCCATGCGGACCGTAATATCCCCTACTCGGAGATTCTGGAAAAGAGGACCCGGGGGTCGCGTTTATTCCGACAATAGATAATGTTTGTGCTAGCCAAAGGTATACGTGTCCATTGAGTGAAAAGGGAAAAATTAATGTGATTCAGTATCCCGTAGCTTTGTCGCTTTTATATGCGTAATATCTGGAAACTCGTGAAGGGAAACCGATCGACGGAGGCAGGTCGTGATGTCTTTCAAAATGGCGGACGAGCGATCCTAAACTTGGCAGTCGCGTCTCATCGTTCGATGAAAAAAGAAAGGGCCGATTATTGCGGACAACTTCTCCGAGTCCGGGGAAGAAAAAAGACGCACTCCGGTGGGATTCGCAATTACCGGATGAAATATGTCGGAATCGTGAAGGAGAGAGAGGGAGAGAGAGAAAAAAAAGAGCGAGAGTAGCTATTAAATTAATTTGGTCTGTTTAGCTTTTTCCTTTCGTCATGTCCGGTCCTCTCCTTTGAGGGAGCCGCGCGGCAGGAGTGAATTAAAATTTTTTGGAAGGACCAGGGAAATCTCTTTCAATCTCGTAACGCCGCGGAGAGCGTCGGCCGTGACGGTGATTCTTTCGGGAGCCAATTGGCCCACTATACTCGGCTTTTTGATTCGAAATTCGATCGAATTCGAGCCAATGACTGGCGGAATTTCGAGAAGCATTCCCGACCGAGCACCTGTAGCCGAGGGTCCCGAAAACCATCTCGCAAAACGACGAAAACCCAAATTATGTCGATCCGCCACCTCCCTATAAAAATGCGAGAAGTTAAAATTCCAAAATAGAGAAACGTCAAAAGTCCAAATAGTCAAGATAAGAACGGACACGGTTCGCTTCGCGGCGAGTCGTACAAGGGTCTTTCGGATTCGCTAAATCAAAGGATCGCGAGTTTCTGTGGAGATGTAATTTCTTTTTATTGAAAAATGAAATTCTCGGGACGCGTCGATCAGTGTTCCGAGTTTCGAGGGGGCACCGAAAAGAATGATAAAAATCTCCGATGAGTCGAAGCGAGTTCAAAACGCGGGGGGGAAAGGCATCCGAGGGGGATCAAAGATGCTGCGGGGGCAGAGAGGGGCTGGACAGGAAAGAGACAGGGGAAAAAACAAACTCGTTAAAAGCGGGTCTGCAGTCATAAAAATCCGAAGCGCAGGTCTATACTAACGATCTACAAGTCCGCGCGAGGTTGATCCTAATCTTGTCGTGCAAGAATCGTCCATGAACGTCGACGCTTAAGAGCGAGAAGGACGCGCTTATGGGCGGCCCGCGGGAGTGAGAGAGACGCCGGCCCGCACGGAGGGGCCGAAACTTCGCGCGAGAAAAAGAGAACCGAGAGAGGGAAAATGGCGGAGGGGCTAAATTGCTGTTGTTCGAGTTTGTTCGAAAATCGAGAACGGGCTCCCTTTCCCCTGGGTATTATAGATGCAAAGTGAGGGGATGGCCCCCGTTCGTCAGGTATTTCCAGAAAGACGTCGCTGCCGCCTTTCGAACGCCTTTTTCTCACTTTTCACATACTCTTTTTGACGTGCTCTGTTCCCGCTTGCGTGAGAATTTCTGGCGACGGAGTTTGCACCGTAGAATCGTCAAAATCGGAATTTTTTATACCATTCCCTCGCGCGTGTCTGTTCTTCAACCCGAGATATACCTAAAAAGGCCTAGAGACCTTTAGTAACGTAGTTATTAATTTCGTTTCGTCAAAGAAGTTATTTTAGGGGTATTCTTATGAAAGGGCTCGATTAACACGCTACCCCTTTTCTCAAACTAGAGTTTTACTATTTTTCAATAACATTGATGTGTTCCGTCTCGTCAAGCGGCATCTTTGGTCTCTCGAGTCTCGCAATGGCTTAATGATTTCCATAATTGAATAAATGTCGATTAAGGTGGAAGAGGTGGCTAGACTTAATACACTTGCTCGAGATGACAGAAATCTAATCTAGAGTTAATCGGCATTTAATTCAAAATCTACCGCGAACTTAATATATTTAGACTCCAATCACTCGCATGATGATCAATCTGTCGCGCGCGGTAACTCTAATTACTCGCCGCCGGCAGAAACGCTAAAATAAAATTAACTTTCTCACTTTGACCTCATAATATTTGCGCGCCCGGTAACTACACGCGTTAATTTACATTTGATTAAAATTAGGCGCGAATCTTGTAGAACGCTATGACTTATATAGAAACGTATCTGTAAAGGGATGAGAATCGCTTCTCGTTAAGAGATACTATTATTTTTCACAGTTTACGGCGACACAAAGTTGATGGTGAAACCTGCCCGATCACAGTGCCTCTCTACGTGAACTGTACCATGTTCGTGATATCCTTCTCATAAATGTATTCAGAAAAGAAACCGCTCTTTTCAAATAAAATGAATGACTCTTAATGAATAAAAAGTGTCTTTCCATTAAATGAACGATTTGTCTGCACATAGCACGTATTCTCGGATACAAGCTCAAGGAACACCGGTTTCGGCTTGGTCTTAAAAACTTAACAGGTTCCTGACCGATAAAGTATACCTTGCACGAACGCATGTTTTCTCTTTGTTCTCCGTACGAGGTAAATTTAAGAACGAAAGCAGGGTACCCGACTTGAGATTCACTTTCGAGAAACAGAGAGAGAAAAAGAAAAGGAGATACCTCGCCGGAAGCAAGCCTTTTGCTACGAGACAAGCAAGAGACGTCTTGTGCTTTCGAAATGTACAATTATTTTATCCACAAACTCCTTTGCGGAACATAGTTGCATAGAACATCGCTGGCTAAATATTAGTACGAAAACATTAATAAAGGCAGGAAACAACGTCGAAGGAGACGCTCCAAGAAGTTCCGGGAGGAGCGTAGCCCCGTAAACAAAATTCTATTTTTTCTTGAATTTCGCCTTTTTCGAAATAACCACCGCCGAGGTTGGCGATTTTGGGTTCAACTGGTTCTTGTGCCGCTTGCTCTCCACGTGTTGAGCGAAGCTACTCTCAGAATTCACAGATAAATTGCACGGTGCACAATAATACTGACCTGGAAGAAAATAAAAATAAACCTCAGTGCAGACATATATTAAACCTTCTGTATTTATACTTTGATAGCAAACTTAAATTTACCCGATGGTGTCCTATAAATGGAATAGTCAATCGGTCCTGGTGGTCCTGCTGGCGGAGTTTCCACTTCGGAACCTGAAATAAGAAAAAAACAGTACCGTTTAAAATTTGCCTAGTAAATGCTTTGATTTTTCGGCAACTCAGGCAAAACATTAGATACCAGTTTCGGGAAGAGGTAAGCCGTTTAGTTTCAGCATTCGAAGGTGTCGAGCTCCTCGTTTATGGGTTTCAAGCTGATCCTGGCGGTTTGCGGAAACGCCGCAAAGTTCACACCTTAAAGGTGTAGGAAAAGGTGCCGCTGTAAAAGCGCTGGTAGGTACTGTCCCCGTTATTGGTGCAGTACTGTCCGTTGTAACGGGCACTGCCGGCACAGCTTGCGTTTCCGGCTGGAAGCTTGATCCAATCCCAAATCTTCCGGACGCGTCTGTAGGTGCCTGATGATTCTGGTTCTGAGCCTTTTTCGACGGTCTGCGGAGGTTTCTCGTGTTCATGCAAGTAACATATTAAGAATGCAAATATGAAGGTAATTGCTTGAAAACTTAACAACATACCTGACACGAGGGCCTCCATTTGCAGCTCGCATGTGCTTCTTTCCGGCGTAATGTTGCGACGCGTCCGTTTGCGAGGTAAACCAAGTCTTACATATCTAGAAATACGTAAAATGTAAACTTTACAAAATAAGAATGAAACCTAAATTGAGTGACAACGCGTACATCGCAGTAGGAGTTCCAGTCGTTATTCGTCGTGCTCGTGACTGGTCCATCCTCTGACTTCAATTTCTTAACGCTCTGGTTTAAAAACATGGACACTTTCTTTTGATGAGGCTTGCCATCATAATGAAGCTTGGCTTGCAGAGTTGAATTCATCTGCAAAATTAAAAAGTCATGAATCCTCCAGCTTATTCGATTGACCAGCAGAAAATAAATTGAACAGGGGCTTAAAATATTAGTAATTACATGATACTTACAACTGCATTGCACAGGTCGCAGTTGAGCGGTTTCATAAGCGCCGACAGCTCCCTCTGAGCACTCGCCACTTTTTCTGTGTGAAACGAGAAAGGGCATTTAGAAACCAGACGAAAAACAATGTCCGCAGTTGTTCAAAGTCTGCGGAATCCCCTAACTTAATTACCTGCATCTTGGGCAGGGTCAATGAACTCGCTCTTGCGCTTAAAATACTTTGGGCTTTTGATTTTTGCGGTATTTTGCGTTATCGTCGCAGCGGCGTTGAAAGTGGATTCATACCACTGCGGATAGACTTCCGAGGTATCTGCTTCCGTCGGCACCCACCAGGGAGCAGTAGGTTGGCCAGGGGGTTGCAGAGGAGGAACAAAGAAGCTGGACGCAGGAGTGAGGCTTGGGAAGGGTGGACGTTGTACAGGTACTACAGGTGGTGGGGGCGTTGGTACCGGTACCGGTACCGGAACTGGAACCGGAACAGGTACCGGAACATGCGCAGGGGGTGGAACGCGAACCGGTGCAAGAGGCGGAGCTCGAACAGGAACCGGCGGTGGAGGCGTAGGGGGAGGTGGAGCGCGATTCTGCGCCGGCATTTGTATTCGAGGTGAAACCGACGAAGCTTTCGCAGCCAGAATTTGCTGTTGTTTCACCAACTCCGCTCTCCCTGATGACGATATAATCGGCGGGGGCGGTGGAGGTGGCGGCGGAGGTAAAACGCCCTCGAGACCTAAATCATGTGAAGAAATTAAAAGGCAATGCAAATATAAACTGGATTACGATACTCTGATTACTGTGTGATGACTTAATGATTTACGAGGGGTAAAACGATATTACTGCTGTAGGGGGGTGTGCGTTCGGGAGATTTAATGACCAATTAGTTGGTCATTTCTTCGGTTGCTAATTATGGTATAAGTTATCTCGAGAGTGATTTCGAAATGTTGATAAGCTTCCGTGACGCGCCGCCAGTTGGCACCACGCGGCGCGTCTCTCAACTCACGTGACACCCAGTTCATTATCTCGGCACTCTTCATTCCGGCATCCAGACTACGCGAGTCAATTGGCGATCGATAAGTTGAATAAGCTCTTATTTACCCGGCACCTCCGGATTTTCGATGACTTTCGAGGCAGACATTTCTTAGGAGTGATTGACGGGTTTTCAGGAAGTTCTTTTTAGAATTGACGGTGAGACGCAGCTTCGACGGCTTTCGCTCCGCGGTAGCGCTCGGTCCGACGAACGGGAATTCAATCTTTTCGAGTCCGTTTAATACTCGATTCACCTGGCGAAACCCCACGTGCTCCGCAAGGAAAAACGCCGCGGAATCCGGACGCGGCTCGCTCGAACTTCGACAACTCGACTCGATGAGAGAAGTAGATTTTCGAGAGGTTAAATGAAACGTTTGACAACCCAGACCGACGCCATTATGGGTTGCTCAAGATGGCCGCCCGGCCCCTACCGGACATTACTACGCGTGCCGAAATTTATGAATTTTTGCTCATTCTTGTTATTATTTGCATTCATCTCCTTTATTTCATACCAACAGGCACTATTTTAGCATACAAACTTCATTTTAGTCGGTTTGTCGGTCATTTAATTGCTTAGAAAAGTGAAGCTGTAACTGAATGCTGATTGGCCACGTTCCGTTGAATCGATGATTGTGTCAGAGAGTAGCAGAGAATGCTCATGCTTCGTTTCTCATAGCTATTGAGAATTACTGTCTCCTAGCGGTAATGCTCGGAAATTGTTCCTTACTTAGAATGGATACGCTCCACAATTCACGACAGTACCTACTGATTTGATATCTCTTCCGTTCATATAAAGTGCAGCATTTCAACGTTACTATTAATACAATTAACATCCAAACGATAAATGATTAAAACATAGAAATTCAAACGCAGGACCAAAATTGGATGATTTACATCGTACTTTGTTTTTACTATGATAAATACTTAATTAGGGTGATGAAGGCGATGCGAATCAGATATTAATTGTATCGCACAAGGTGTTCTGCAAAATTGTCTTGCTATATTAAAATAATAAACAATATGAGTATAACAATAGTAAAAAAAAAATATGATGTTTTCGGTCATAAATTGAAACACCGCGACAGCCGGGTTAATCTCTGGGTTATAATTTTATATTGTATTTTTTAATTTTATATTCATCAGTTAGCTACGCTAGACTCTATTGGATTGTAACATCGATCAAGTTTTCAAATTTGCGGATCTATTAATACAATGTAGACGCTTCGGTCTGCAAATCCGGATATTATTAATTTTGCATTTAGGGTACGATGGAAACAGATGGAAATGTATATACGTAGTCAGTATGGAGCATGGAGGAACAACAAGAATTAATAAAATGTCTTCACGAAAAGATTCAAGACGGGAAAGACGCGGTGGAACGATTGAAAGTCGTCCAAAACGTTGATGGAGTTGAGAAGCTCGCGAGGAAAATATTTCAGGAGATTAAATTCTTGGAAAAGGTAAAATAACCTTTATGTAGAGGTTAGTGTTTGGACAACCTGTTGAGAAGTCGCTAGTTTTATAAAGAATTAAAATCATTTTTACGAGATCATGTGTAAATTAATTGCATGTAGTGCCTCAATCATGGTGAAGGTATTACTACTTATTATTTAATTTTTTATTATTTAAAAAACTCATCTGAGAAAGTATATTAGCTATATTCAAAAGCTTCAATATTTTCATGTTTTGGCACTTATTGGAATGAATTTAAATAAGATTTCCAACTTGGAAAGGTGTAACAACAACTGTGGGGTATTCTTACAAAGGTGGGATCCACAGGAAATGTAAAAAAAGAACATCTGCAAAGTACAAATTTGATTCACCTCGAGGCAATGGTCAATCGGCTGCTTTCGTCGACTGACCCTGTTGGCGTGATGAAGCCGTTTAAGTTCCAAAAATCGAGGCTTGAAGTCGATGTGGTTTGCGATGGAGGATCTTCATGGGTGAAAGTAATAGCGAGAAATGCAAGGGCACTTACATTAATCTCTCTAGGTGCCGGAGAGTATGGACAAAAGTCAGTTCTCGACCAAGCCGATTCCTTTCTAGAGTGTGCTAAACATCATCCTTATCATTATAAATTTCCAAAAATTATATTTCATTTTGCCTATGGAATAGAGACTCCTTTAGCTGCTCGCCTTGAACGCCTTGGAGTTGACGTGGAAGGCGAACGAATTAGTTCTGATTATGACGAAGATAGTATGAATTCAATTGGTAACTACTTTTAATAATCATTAATCAATAACATGTTTTCAAAAGTTCTATAATTTTAAATTAGATGCAACCACTTATGCACTCAATTATCGATTAATCTTGTTAATGAAACAATGCCAATTACAACATTGTTATCAACAATGTCTGTCGTAACATTTCATTATCATTCATGGTATTTGATTGAAAGTAACATTTATCATTTTTTGGAGGCAGAAGTCTGTGAGGATATGGAAAGTGATGAGTTGTTCAATCCAGAAAGATCAATGGAGTCCAGTCCTGATCTGGAAGTACTAAATACAAAAACCAATTCAACAGAAATAAAAACCCTGAACCTTGATGTCTCTACGTTGCTGGCTTTTGTTACTAATATGACAAACGGTCATGCCAATTTTGTATACAGAGAGCCATTGTTGACAAGGCAAGCTGAATGGGAAAGAGCACGACCTGTGAAACCAATTCTAGATGAATTGTTTGGAAACAAAGAGCTAGTAGTATGTCGCACTGCATATAATAATTTTATGAATATAATTGAAGTGATTGGTGGATCTAATGAAACTATGAGAGCTGAAAAGCTGATTCAGAGGGTTCGTATTGTGGAAGATATTAGTAATGGAAGAATTATGGAACGGCTACCCATAGCTGGAAGGATTAAAGACCGATCTAGGTTAGTTTTCTCCACAGGAGAAAATCTACAAAGTATTACAGTCTCTGCCAACGAGGGATTCGTAAGAGCTGCTCGCATGCAGGTTCGTGTCACTGTCTGGAAAACGAAAGAACATTGCATTCACATTGACACATAACTAATGTAATTTATTAATACGAATAGGAACATTTCATTTACAAAAATTCAATCTATTAATGTACTATATCATGGAACCATTTTTGCAACTCAGTTTCATTTTTGTTAACATTAAAAGTGACATTTATGCGCTATTCTTATAATGAAATATTTCCTGGGATGACAAATTAATTTTACGTGTAATCTGATTCAAATTCAGAGACATTTTAACGATAAACTTATAAATAATTAATCTAACATTATTTGTTTAGGGCATTGAGTGCACCGTCTTTCTTCATGAGCCTCGATCATTATCCGAGGTCAAAGAAGCTTATGCTACAAGATTACGTTCTTGACTCTAGAACAACTCGAAACGAATTCATTGTATATTTGCCCATGGACGTATATTACTCATTGTATACTGTTGTACAGTTGTGTAAATAAATCAGCTGCTATTGCATTTAAAGTTAGTTTGAAATTAATTAACACCCTATTATGGCTCAGTCGAGTACTTGATTCCGTGGAACTTCCTGCTGGTTATTAAGACCCTCTACAAATTCTGAAACATGAAGTTAATTTGTGTATTTTAATGTGTGCAAGCTAATAATACGCCGTTTTATAAGTAAATCCAACAGTACTTTCCGAGTGACTTCATTGTTTTGAGCTATAAATTTATTAATTACCATTTATAAATTTGATCATGTGTGGATTTGTTTCTTTAGCCATGTCTATGCATTCTTTGCATTTTGCATAGTTTTGCAAGAGATTGTAACACTTTGCACTGTTTAAGAGGGCTTTTAGGTTTGCCCTGTTTGCTTTTAGAGCCCATTCGCAATCCGACAGAGCCTTTTCATAGAGTCCTAATTGCATATAAGCTAGTGCTCGATTGTTCCATAGGACGGAGGAGTCTTTTCTCTGCTCTATAGCTTTTGTGTAATATGTAATCGCCTTTTCAAAGTCTTCTTTCCTGAAAGCACCATTGCCAATTCTTTTGTAAGTCTCTGCTCTTTCATTTCTAATCTTCCTATCCTCAGCTCTTTCGTTGGCATCCTTCTCGATGGACCTCATAAAAGCTTCTGTTGGTCGCATGTAAATATATAACTATCTGTTCGAATTAAATGTTGCAATTCATTTGAACTAATAGTTTACCTTGAGACATTTTGTTGGGATCATATTCTTCTTTGCTTTTATATTTGTTGATTACGGTTCGTTCAACTTTTACTTTTATTTCATTTTCAGTAATTTCTTTCTTGTTTTCTTTGAGGATCTCATCAGCCAGCAACTCGCCATACTCTTGTTCCTTCTTATTGGAGGAAGCCAATTTCTTCACAATTTTCTCTTAAATTAAGGAAACGTTGATATACATATTAACATGACAGATACAAATCTTGACTTACCAACTTCAGTGACACGATGCATGAAGTTTTGAAACTCCTCTTCTGTAGATTTATTTATGGGTGCAATACTCTCTACAACTCTTTCTTTCTGATCCTTTGTAAACCCTTCATTATTCACTTCACTCAATTCCTCCATCCTTTGGAGCTGCTTTTCTAAATTAATGAATCTTTTTGATCTACTAAACACTGGCTAAACTTCTGAAATGTTACCTGGATTACCATGGCAACGTAACAAACTCTTCCATAGGTGGGAATCTTCCACGAGGAAACTGCAGTCCCGCAAGGAATGGAAATGTCAAAGAATTGTTGAATTAAAAAATTTTGTAATCAATTTTATTAACAACTGTAAATACCATTTTGAGAAATAAATTTCTTTGCTATTGGCGAGAGTGAAGTTAAATTCATGCATAACAATATAAAATTTATGGCAAGATTCGTGCGAGCAGCATACTTTGACATTTCCATTGCTTGTTAATAAAAATAATTATTTTAAAGAAATAAACACTTCTAAATTATCTTCCAGCTGTTGTGTATAGCAATATATATTATTATTCAAAAAGAATGCTGCATGTATTTAAGGTATCCTGCTTGGTATTGAAATATTGAAAATGTTCTACAAGTATTAGTAACTTGCGTGGGTTTTTTTTTTTAGTTTTTCCTATTTCTGTAAATTGACTGGAGGTTGAAAGTAATCCATAAGAAATCAATAGTCTTTGTGTAATTTTCTCTTTCATTTCACTGACATGTATTCTTTACAAATATTAAATTCTGAATGCTTGTTTTAATTTTGCAAAACTAACAGGAATCAAAATCAGTAGATTACAAGATGTTTGATTTGTATAAAATACATTCATCCTAAAATTTGACACTTAACAATTGACTTTTCCACTTTCCTTGTTTGGAAATGACTTGATGTCAGTCGAATTTAAGTTAGGTTTCTTTTGCCTTGGCAAAACCCAAAGATACAATGAAAGAAATGAGCGAACAATAGGATCTTCCTTAATATTGATTGACGCGTTATGTACGTGGATTTTTTAAAGTAAAGTCTAGTGTAGATTTTCCCTTTGTGCCATATGAAGTGCTAGGGCTCTCAACACTCGATCTCACGGATTTAACAAAAGGCTTATTATTATTACAAAGTGTTACGTCTCTAACATCAGTCTCAGTTGCATTAGTTTCCTGTGAGTCAAACTCTATATCTATTTCATCTTTAATAATCACTGCATAATTAACGGTCCGATCGCTATCTGAAGAGGTTGAAGATTTCCTACGGTCTAGAACTCTTCCAGGAGCAGAATGTTCAACATTTGTAGATCTTGAAGGTGAAATTTCAACTTCTTCCATGAGGCAAAGTCTCTTTGAAGGTAGAGGTTTATCTTTCGAGATTTCAGCCAGGATACGTTTCCAGCTGATCGTTTGTTCGAGATCTTCCCTCTTCTTTGATGTAGAAAACACTCTATCCTGAACTTCCTGTGATTTCTTGCTAGTACTTGGAACTTCTTCTGTCTTCCTTGCACAATCCAGTGCCTCTGAACTTTCTCTCCTTTTTGACGTAGAAAATACTCTGTCTTGCACATCCTGCAATCTCTTGCTAGTACTTTGAACCTCTTCTAGTTTTCTTCTGCACTCTATGGGATGTCCTTTTAAAACCTCTGCCCTTCGTTCAGAACTTTTTTGCTCATGCCCTAAGTTGAATGAAGTCTGTTTAAAGATTTTAGATTGTCCACAAGTGGTTGGTTCTTGCTCTCGAATAATTTCCTTAGACAAACTCCTGGTGTCCACAATTTTTAAGCTTGGCATTCCTGTGGAAGCAGATCGCTCCTCATCCAAAACTCCATTTTCCTCAACTTGTTTCCGAACCTGACGTAGTCCCCTTACTTCCAAGATTTCGGCAATTCGCAGGAGTCTCCCGACATCGCTTCGTACCACTTGGATCTCTCCACAATACATAAAATTCAATATAGTTTTCAAATCGTCTGCCTCGATGTCATGCAAAATGATCATTGGATATGGATGATCATTAACTTCTAAGAGACGCCTGAAGAAGGAGCTCGAGTGTGCCAAGACCATTTTGTGACATTTTAACACGGTCCCATCTTTACAAACCAGCGAAACGTCCACAAATTGTTGTTTTTCGTAGCATGAATCTAGAGAGTGTGCCAGCTGAAGTGGGAAGCTGTCCCACTTCAAATTCAGCATAGTTTCCTCCCGCATTTTCTGAAATAACGCAATCATCAGAATTCTTATAATACACTTTTTCTAACCTTACTTTAATACATAAATGCATTATTTCCCTATGTTTACCACATAATACTCTAAAAAACATCATAGCATTCAATTACATCTTTTTCTTAAATTTTAATAAATTTTTTCCAATGGTGGTCCTATTTGTATGATTTTTTAATATATTTCCGCATTGCAATCCCTGCATCTACAATATAACTGCACCAGTGCCCTTCGGCCTTCCGTGAACTACAGGCACTTTAAGATAATATGCAAATTACATGTCCGGCCTTACCTTATCCGTAAAGAAGGCTTCGCTTTCAATGTATGTGCCCGTCACCCGAGACTTTACAATTGGCGCGTCTCAATTTTCATGGCAGCAAGTGACGTAGTATACGTATTCTTGCCTGCCGTTGTTTCCGCTAGTTCTGAAGCTCTCCTAAGTGAGTCGCAGGCAGGGATAAGTTTTTTTTTTCCCGGAGGAAAATTGATTATTAACCGCGATCTGTTACCTGGGAAGGCGTCCGCAGGTGAGCCCAGGGCAGCCCAGGGGGGCCACACTTCCATGTATTGGACTGCACCGCAGTGTTCTATAGCGCCATCTTAACTGGAGTCACTTTTTCCTGCGAACTAAACGGTTTGATCTGAGAATAGCAGAGACAAGTTGGGAGATTGCTTACGGGAGGTATGGTGCGATCACATCCTGTACTGCCCTCTGGTATCATACGTAAGCTTTCACCGTTTTTTGCCCCCAAGGGCGGCGCAACGAATTTCTGATAGGAGTTCGCCCACTCGCGATGGCGGTACCATCTACCAGTCGCCGTTGGCGACTCACGTACTCGTGATGGTAATACCATGCAGCAGTTGACGGTGGTGGCTTATCTACGCTTACCGAACTGCTCGCTTTTGATGGTAAGGGAAGAACACTCGTGACGCTCCATTTGACTTTATCTACTTATCTACTGCTATTAAGTACATTGTTGCCACGAAGTCGCGTGATGCGGAGCTTTGGGGCACGCGTCGGTGTGTCGCGTACGGAACTCTCATGCAGCGAATCTGCGTGAGTGCGATCGCTCCTACAAATCTTCGCGCGTCCCAACCAGCCAAGCGCCAAGCTACGGGTCGAGACGTTGAGTATGTGTGCGTGCGGCGCTACACTCGACAAGTATGCGTGAGAGTCGAATACTGCGAAAAATCCTCCCGAGGCTTACTTAACTGCGGATATAAGCCGAGTTATTTCGCGTATGATTTTTACATTTCCCTACTAGCGTTATCGAGCATTTTCGTTCACGAGTGTTCTTCCCTTACCATCAAAAGCGAGCAGTGTCTGTAAACGTAGGTAAGCCACCACCGTCAACTGCCGCATGGTATTACCATCACAAGTACGTGAGTCGCCAACAGCGACTGGTAGATGGTACCGCCATCGTGAGTGCGCGAGCTCCTATCAGAAATTCGTTGCGCCGCCCTTGGGGGCAAAAAACGGTGGAAGCTAACTTACGAAACCAGAGGGCAGCACAGGATTCGATCGCACGATCCCTTCCGTGAGCAATCTCCCAACTCATCTCTGCTTCCATTGGTTAGAATTAAGATTGAGTAAGAAATAGGAATCATGTATAAACGATCTTAAGACGATTAAGCATGGTTCATGTTTCTATGCTAATGTTAGTTTTTATTTGAGTGCAGTGTAAGGAATTCATAGGGAGCGTGTATTCTTTTTCTATTCTAAGCGATTCCAATCGCGTTGTGTGAACAGGCCGTTATAGTAAGGAAGGCATAAATGTTTTTAACTTCAACTTAACGATTCTTTTAATTCGAACCTGATACCTCAATAACTCCAAAATATGAGTTTTATCTTTAAGGTTTCGACCAACTTTTCCGTCGTTCTGTCCAGTGTGCATTATATGCCCTATTTCAAGATATCTAAAGTCCTCGACTGAGGGAGCCGATAGTTTCCAGTCCTTTGGCAAAACAGCTTTTTTAACCCAGGATTCCGAGTTGAGGGAGGAATCCAATCCGACTTCTAGAAATCTCAAGTATTGCTCGCGACCAAACGAGCAATCGCTCGAATGCCAGCCCAGGCTTCGCGGGCTGTAGGCACGATTTGCGAAGCTGGCAAAAGGAAACCATAAGTCCCTCGATCCCTGAGTTCCATGGTGTAGGAGTATTTAATGCCAGCAATGGCTTTGGCCCAATCGTCCGATGCTCCAGAAATAGGATGCAACAGCTCCGAGGATGAGCCTACTTTGTACCGAGTTCCATGAATCTTGGCTGTGGCATCAGCAGCCTTCTTGGCCACGTTGACCAGCTCGGAGTAGTCCGAAGGCTTAGCACGAGTATAACTCCACGGGACTAGCCACATCTGTGAGTAGGAATGCAGAGTGAGGTAAACCCTGTGGAAAAACATAGGTGAGAGAAGTAATGCCTGATGGGTAAATTAAGGTACAGGGCCATAGACATGAATGCCCTCTCGTCATACATCGGTGACAATATCACCAGTGAGCATTCATACCCACCGGGTAGGGGAAGCTTATTCAAAATGGGTAGGTTAATTTAAAAAATAGTACAAAAATATAATCGACAAACATTCAATGTTCATTCATATTTCATTTGAAACTTTAGTGTATGGTATTTGGTTTTTAGCTTTGAAAATAACGAATACTCCATTCAAAATACAATTCTTTTTTAGGTTGACGAAAAAATGATAACATGTTTGTCTGGAGTAGTTAATCATTTTTCTATCCTGAAGCAAATATATATTGTTGTCTAAATCATATACAATTGCAAGAAACAAATATTCTGTTGAGAAAAAAAATTGATGTCGATTCAATCGAATCTTGTTTACTCAGTCTTAGATTTCCTTGAATGTACTTAATCACAGGATGTTTTTTGTTGCAATGCATGTTTCTTTGAGTGAACCACCTTTTTATCTCAGGGTACTTTGGAGGGAATATTCCGAATTGATTCAGGACGACATAAGTGTCTTATGGCTCTGACTTTTTTGGAAGGCGATAATCACCTTATATCTCGACGATTGGCCATTATATAGTCTGCGATGGCTCTGGTTTCCGGTTCCGAGAAGGCTTCTGGACCAGCATACGTCTCGTGACAAGGATCCGAACTGGCACCACTCGCTGTTTCTACTCCCCACTGGTATCCGAAATTCCGGTTCGGGTCGACGCCCTCGCACTTCGTCCAGAACCACCTGGTGTAACGAGAGACCATGTGAAAGAGGCCAGAAGGTGTGTACCTGAAGAAGAGTCCGCGTTACGCTCGCACGACCTCCTTGCGCCGGCTCGGTTCGTATAGATTCTAAAAACTGGTTAAATTAACGAACGGAAATGCCTATCATTCGGAATAACATCTCATCTCTGACCTAGCCACTTCTTCTTCGTCATCGTCACGGGTACTCCTCGTCTTCCTCCAAAGCCGATCGCCGGTGTGGCTGAACTCGTAGCCATCAGGATTCGCGACTGGCAGAATTATCCAATCGGTTGACTTCAAGAACCTCGCATGCGTTGCGTTTTTCTCCACCAGTTGTCTAAGGATGTAGGTCGCCACGGCTGATCCGATCCATTCCCTCGCGTGCATTCCTTAGAGATAACGAGAAAAGGAAGACGTAATAAGGGACATTGCAGAATCATTATTGACAATCCCTTCAACGCACTCACCAGCATCGATCCAAATTGCCGGTTTCTTCCGTCCGTTTTCGTTGGCTCCACTGGACACCCTTGCTAACTTAATTTCCTGCCCCTCGTAAGAACGGCCAATCGTAACGAGCTCTACGAGGTGTGGGTACCGCAAGGCCAGGAAGTTGAGGTATTTCGATATTTCTATAAAACCATGTATATATATAAAAGAAATAAGATTTATTTTCTAACAGAATTGGAATATGAATAAAGCATGTACCTCCATATCTATGGTATCTCTTCCATGTCATGGGGTGTCCCTGGGAGGTCACGAGGTCCACGCGTTGCTCCTTCGACATCTTCGGGTTCTGCCTGGCGATGGTTCTCTGCAACGGAATCGTTTATGACTGTTCATTATTTATGGCGATGGAAATCCAAGTTCCTCGGTAAAAGGATGTCTTTTTACCTGCAGGTCGGGTATCAGGATCTCGAAGTCTATCTTCTGTTTTTTCAGGAATCTCTTTACGTCCGCCAGGAGGCCGGGAGCTACGGCGACGTCGGTCGATCTGAACGTCATCAGAATTAATATTTCCTAGGGATTAGCATTTCCTCCGAGGTTAAGTGTTTAAGAGTTATCACGAGGAGGTAGCACCACCGGGACCGGCTACTCCACAAACCTGTTCCTAAAGGGCTGGGTCCAGAATTTGAGATCTTCGGTCTCGGTGTCTCTCATCTCAACGAGATCCGCGACGTGCTCTTCGCTGATAGGCAGAATCCTGAGCAACTGGTGGCCCTTGTAATTTACCCGGTTGCTGCGATCACCTTGAAGACCCTCGTTTTCGGGTTCCGAGTCCCCTAGGATGCTTCCTACCAGGGAACTGATTCCGTTGGTGGCCATCGTCAAGACCGAGTCGAACCATGCCGAGAAGGAGAGTCCTCTGGACCGCCGGATCCGGAAGTATCCTCCAGGACGCTGCGAATCGGCAAGGTCCCATCTGAAGATATGTCAGATCACTGTCAAGAAAGGATCATCATATCGTCGCGTTTTTTCTCTAAATTTGACTCCCTTCTCTTCGTATCAATATGACGTCTCAACGAACAGTTTCGTATAACACTAAATGTCCGGCCGGCTAGTCAAATTACATTATTTAAATCGCATTGGTAAGGGGATTATAAAATATCGGGACGTGCAGTGTTAAAAAAAATCAACGCGTGGCCGCCATGCGCGTCGGAACTGAAACTTTTACGTTAAAGAGAACTATTAGCTATTATTAATTATTACCGAGTATTATGAAGTATCATTAAGCAAGCGATGTAACAATATACCCATGTGCTCTTAATTCTTTCTTGCGCCCTTACGCGTTCGGTAGGGGTTGTGTCGGGCATAATTATTTATATTATTTACTCGTATTAAGCAGTAATTTTAATTCTACTAAAAATAAAAAAAAGGAAGCATTTCACTTTCTGAAACGGGCTCCTTTTGTAACGTGCGAACTTGCGCGAACCACCGTGCCATAAGAAGTCTCACTGTAAAAGGACACGAGTCTCGCACCAAAAACATTATTCCAAGTCGCGGACAGGTGAAACTTGTGGCAAAAGATCAATCCCGATCTCACCTTTTCGGAAGCGCGGGAGGAAGTCGCCGCGCGGGGTCGCGAGTCCCGGAAGCGGAAGTGGCAGCCGACCAGCTGCTGACTAGAATGGCGGCGAAAGCGACGGCGAAAAGTGGCAAAACTTCGACGGGCGTTCGCATGGTCGGTCGGCACTCGGTTTTGTCTCGTAAAGAAGCGCTCGCCTCGGGAGTTCTTGGCTGACTGCACCGAGTAATCGGCCGATCCCTCGAGTGGTCCGGCGGCCTTTCCGCGGCGAAACCGGACGCGAACCGGGACCGGCCCGACTAAACGGACGCTTGTTTCACTTGCCGTGTCGTCCGCTCGCCCTGGCCTCGACGGATTCTCAGACCCTGACTTACCAGATTTTACTAGGCACGTGAAACGGTGTTTTCACGTCACGCGACGCGTGCAGGAAGTCTTGGGGTACACGTCGCGGTCGTATAGAGACACGAAACCGCTCCAGCGAAAGAGGCTCGAGCCAAGTGCATTGCGACACGCGATCTTTCCCGGGACGATGGACGCGGCCGAGCAACCGCAACGTAACGTGTTAATTAACGGTGAAAGATGTGCTCGGCGTTGTTAAGTCGAGCTATCGGACGGATGTTTATATTCAACGAAAGGGGCTTTACAGGATGTAGTTAGGTAGGCGCGAGGAAAAGTGTTTCGGGAGGTTCGCGGAATCAGGAGGCGCCAATGAAATCGCCAACTCGCCCAGGCGAATCGCCGGCAGTAGGTCAGTGAGTTTGCCGTTAGCTCGAGATGTTTCTTCGGCAGGTCTCGTTAAACTGGTCACGTACTTCTTCGGGACAATCCAAGAGATGGCAAAACGCGCAAGGGGGAGTTCTCGTTTCTTTACGACGTCCTCTGGAATTCGGCCCGGCATGAGGAAGTTTGCAAGGCCTCGATTTGGATTGGTGAACCTAGATTCCTTACTCAAGAGATATATCTTCCTGAAATTAAAACAAGGTTGGTATATGTACGTTCTTTTGAACGAAGTACTTTTCAATGGTATTAATTCCATCTAATTGCAGGATCCTGCGAATCGCCGGATGGGTTTCTCGATGACTTTGTCGATTTTCTGAGATCTTCGGCATCCTCTTCGTATGGCGGATGACTTGCGGGACCTAAGGATGTGGTTCTTCTAAATCGACCATCGACTTCCGCTGCGAACATGATTTATTACTGTTATGCGGGGTTTATGCGATATACCTACCAACTTATACGGTACACAACGAATACAATCGTAACGACAATGCACGGAGTGAGTGGTGTAAATAATTAACAATGACTGTAATAGAATTAAATTAATATAGCATAATATCCATTAGTCTGCGCGGGGACTCGCGGAAGAAAGGACGACGAGCCGCGTGGGCCAAGTTTGCCAACATTTGATCACCTTAAATCAAACTTTAATAACCCCGAGTATTATTTCACTCTTCTCGAGGTTTAATTTAGAATTAGAAACAATTGGTAATTGGTCATTAAACGATCAGATAATAAGTTTTAATAGAGCCTAAATAAACGTCGATTAACTTTTCAGGTGATCAGGGTTGGCGCACCTGACAGACTTCCTATCGGGGGCAATCCACGCAATCGTAATCCACGGTCTACCCTGAACTAACTCGACTTTTGACTAGCACGTCTACGGCGTTATTTCGTTTCCTCTCCTCCCTGCCCTTCCCGTCGTTAGTACGTAAGGTTATAATCAAACATAATCGCTACTAACGAGGAGAAATGGCACCCTCCGATCACCGATTACCCGCAACTCAAGATGAACCTCTTCAACGTGGGAAACGAGACTCGGAGGAGCATAAAAGCCGGGATCATCATTCCGTGAAGTTCTACGAATCTATCCAGCGATAATTAAACGTAATCGGCGATTCGCAGAGTATGACTTCTCCCCGCGGGTCGCTACTTTAATCGGAATGAAAAGGAGGAGCGGAATTTCGCCTCCTGTCGATGTCGCCAAACTACCGATGATTCGAGTCTCGAGTCGACATTTTCGGTCGGTCTAATAATTGACTGCTGATGGTCGTTCTCGCGATACTCGCCGAGAAAAACGGAACGCTCGTTGAGCTCCCGGCGTTATCGAGACGTTGGAAAGAATTTCTCTACCGGTCGCCTGGGTCATCGCAAGCGTCTTCCAAATCTCATTCTTCAAGTATTCCGTTTTGAGGCCTCCAAGAAAACAGATTCTAGGAACCGATTCCTTCGAGCATGCATATGTAAAATTGCTTTGACGTTAAACGGCGCTCGGTCGCGAGTCAATGCCACGAGAACGACCGTGGAGAATGGCAAGAACCTAGTTGACCTTTCGACTAAAGACTTCGACGCTTCTTGGACCTCCTTCGCTCTGTACAGTCCTTCGCCATGTTCGCTCTTAAGAAACACAAAGAAGCGCGTAACATGAGAAATTCCTACATGCAATCATAGTGAGACTCGGTACCTAACTGCCTAATTTCTAGCGAGGCAAATTTAACGCAACGTCAGTGCCGGTGATAAAAGAAACGTTTAACGGATACAAGGTAAAAGCGAAGAACCGTATACATTGCGAGGAGGTAGAAGTCGACCGTGGCCGTGTCTTGTAAATGCCCATAGAGGAGAAGAGTCAACGACAATCCCAGGCACCGTTCCTGGACACGGCCACGGCCATGGAATAACCAAATAATGTGAGAGGGGCTCTTCGTCGTCCGCTTTGAGCGGTTACTCGATATCGGGCCTTAACGTTATGTACAGTTCGGGATCCTAACCACCGGCGAGGTCAATCGAAGTTAACCTCCTTATCGAGAACTACGCAATTTCTACGATTCACTGTTAATCCCTTCATCTGTTGAACGCATCGAGGCCAACGTGTGTACATTGCGTCGTACAGGCACCTAGGTGTCTCCGTCGTTAACGACCATAGTCTCGCTCTCCGTTTTACCTTGTTTGCGGTGCCACCGCGACAAAGGCGGTAAATTAACGGTAATCGTAATGCGGGATGTTTACACGTATACGCGTAGCGACCAAGCCAAATTCAAATGCCGTGCCACGTCCAGGAATCTCGATTTTAATCTCGGCTTCACCGTTAGATTTCGTTGTCCCGTAAGAGAATGGAGAATCGCGCGGCGCCTTTGTTCCTCTCGATTCTCCAGGTGACACGGCACTTCATGGAGAACATTTAGACCTGGTTCCGCGACTTCTGGGTCTTAAGCCAGAAATGATGAACTTGGCGTGCACTTCGTCGCATCGCTGTTTCGTGACTCGCTGGAGCGTTTAGCTTCCGATAACTGATAAGTGACCTTTTTACGGTCGATCGTTCGATCGTTCGATTTTATTTCTCTCGGCTCCAGTTCCTACTTCATTGAGTTCCGTCTGGCTGTATTACACGATGTTCGCCTTGATGATGGCGCTGCCCATCATGACCTTGTTGACGAAGTTGACGATGGCCGTTGCTGGCTGTTCTGGTTCCAGCTCGGCGAAAACGTGGCATTGGTTGTCCGATTTGTGAGCCGGCTTGCGAGCAACGAAGCCGAAACATCGACTGAAAGAGGGAAAAGGATCTTCGTCGAATCATTGATCTTTGGCGCTTTAGTTACGAAATTAAAGCTATAGTGGTTCCATCTGAGCGACGTTTTCTTTTTTTTACAAAGCGTCATTATAGTAACTTACTGGGCGCTTGCCGAAGGCCCGATTTCTTCTCCAAGAAATTCCCAAGTACGTTCCTCGGAGTCCAGACCGCAGTAGCTGATATTGCTGGTCGGGTAGTGCCTCCTGAAGAAGAGCTTCCTAGCGTTATCCGTTAAGGTGATGCCCTGGGTGGAGACCTTGAAGTGGACGATGGTCGCGGCAGGTAAGGGGCTTTGCTCGAAGAGCGTGGTCACCGCTTTCTTGATGGCCTGAGGTCCAGTTAACGATTCCGTGTCCATGGTGAAAAGGTAGAGCACGTTGCAGGCTGCAAGAGCGTAAAGCGTTTCCTTCAATCGAACTTAAAATTAAAAAAAAAAAACGACAAGAGCATAGTTTTACCGTTATGCTGCAATTAATTACCTCGAACTACGTTTGGGTGATATGAGAAATGAAGCGCGGTTGTTGCTATCATTTATGATGTGAAAGAAAAAAAGAAAAGAAAACGAAAAGAAGTTCCGATAGGTACCTGCGCCCTGGGCGAGTAACTGCTGAGTACTATTCGCCCCTGAAGAGTCCAAGGCTCGCGCAGCTGCTTCGGGTTCAGGGAGCAACAATTGACACGGCAGAGCCATTGCCATCAGACTGTGTTGATACACCAGGGCAGACAAGGAGCTGAAGACGGGTTCATTGGCGCATCCTTTGAGTCTCACTCCTCGCGACGTGGGCTCGATCAGGAAGTGCCTCACCAACTCACTGGAAGGATCCCTGGGACTACTGGGTGCCCCAGGAGGTGGAGTCGCGACTTTCAACGCGAGTCCGAATGCACCTGGGAAGGAATTGCTATCCCGGACGACGAAGGTTCCTGGAGTGGCATCCTTCAGCATAGAGATGGCTGAAGATCGAACAAGGAAGACACCATTATTAAACTGTCGCTAATTCTTGTATTCGGTACAATATTGATTCGTTTACTCCGCACCTTGTTCCCGGGAGATGTTGGGCTTGTACCAGATCCTGCTGGTGTCTCTTACGAATTTGACATTCGCATCCGCTACTTCCTGCGGCTCCATGTTGGAATTGACGCTGGACCTCCTCGATCCGGTGTAATGGGTCTGAGATGAGATTTGCCCGCTGCTGTTAACCGAACCGGAGGACATGGTGTTCTGCGGAGAGGTAAATGGGAAAGTAATTAAACCGCGCAATCAACTCGCGGAAACGAATCCCTCGTTCCAGTTTCATAGGAAAAGGAGAACGTACCTTCGGGCTGGGGACGAATTCCACGTGGGCTGGTGACCGTGCTGTCTGCGATGGGGTGAGACCTCCAACTGGGGAGCTGGCACGGTCCTTGCTGGAAATTTAACGAAACGGACGATTAGCACGGCTTCGTTTCACGGATTTATCAATCAGGAACATTTACCGTGCAAGGAAACACGCAGCCTAACTCGCTTTGAAAGAGAAACCATGTTTGAAAGAAATGGATTAATCGAACGTCTCCTCCATATCCATTGGGGAGATTTTTACGAGGTGTCGGTGCGGACTGAAAACTGTGCTCAGGAAGTTTCAACGACAAAACAAGGGTCCTAGTTAGACAAGGTGCAAGACAATCCTCGTGCTCTCGTTAGTCACGGCGGTTATCAACAATTACAACTCGGCACGAATCCATTCTTCACGTCTCGTTAGTTGCATAGTCTCTTTCTCTCCCTTCCATTCACTCCGTTCCTCTCGCCAGTCCGTTCCGTAAAATCTATCAGTCTCTCCATGCTCTTCAGATCGCACATTACCTAGAGTCGAACGACGTCGATTGGTTAGTTTGGAGTCCCCGTTTGTTATGGGCTTGCTTAATCTGCCCGCCTGCCGGGAAACTCAAACGTCTAAAATCACGAATATCGTTTCATTGAATTAAACTATCCTACGATTCGTTTATTAATTAGGTTTTTTAACGAAGGCCATGTCGCAACCTGGTTTAGCAACCCGTTACAGGTGCCATGGCAATTAACGTACGGACATTTTTTCAGGTCAATTAGGAAAATCTCTGCAAGTAGAAACTCCTTGAACTGCCCTGTAAGACTGTAGTAACGCGAGCGTCGTTTCAACGTGCGTCGTTACAACGTCCATCGTAAAAGTTAATTATGACTTAATGTGATGGAAACACGAGTAACGTGCGTCGCTTTTATAATAATCATGAAGTAGCATAAAGAGCTCTAGCTCTATAGATCTTTCCGGAAAATAAAACCATAGGGTTACTTTTATATAGATGTGGAAGCTTCTTGGGCTACTCATGGTTTTAATTTAAGGCCCTCCTAAAGCATCTCATTTTCGACATTTACGTGGCCCCGGTCTAAAAACATTTTTGATTGAAATCTTGCACCCACCGATGCGTAGTCGGACTCTTAGGAGGCAATCCCGTCTCCCTGATGGTGTCTCTGCGTTCCTCGATATAGATGGCCCGGTCCACCAGATACCCGCCGCAATCGCCGTTCTCATTATTATTGGTGTTGTCGTTAGTGTCGTTGACACCCTCGTTTCCGATATTGTTGTTATTAATATTGCTGTTGTAGTTCCTGGGTCCATTTAAGTAGGTTCTATCCGCAGCAAATGTGACGGTGGGCGAGGCGTTATTGACGTATGGGGTCCTAGGGTGCACCGGAAACGCCGGGGTCTGCGGTCTGGAAGCGTTTCCCACGGGAATACTTCCCGGGCTGGTGCTTCGCTCCGTCCACACGGAGTCGTTCTGTAACTGTAGAAAAAAAACAATTAATATCGAAACATTTTCCCCAACCCCAAGACGGGTCGCAGGAGCTTGGGACGAGTCAGAGAGGTATCGAAGAATCCTCAGACCGGAAGTCGCGAGCAAGCTGTGGACAGAAATAGGCGAGACATGCCAAGAGACCACGAAAGGACGGAGCGTTTGTAGAAGTACGTGGATCACGAGAGGCGGATCCAGCGCTCCTGGAAGTGAGGTACCAAGCGTTGGTACTTCCGGTTGGTACCGGGAACCGGAAAGGGACTGTCCAAGACAGAGCGACGAACCTGGGTGGTAGTATGCCATGCTTTCGACGACTGATTAGGGGAGGTGTTAGTGCAATTGGCGAGGTCGCTGGCGTCAGTCCGGATGTCCGGTGGCGTTCGCAGGTGGTCGGCCCTGTTAACGGGTTGCATCGGGGATATCTCCGCCAGGGAGCGAACTAGGTTGCTGAGGGAATCGGTGGGATTAGTCTGATGGGCCTGATTAACCTGATCGGTCCGATCAGTCTGATCCTGGGGTCTGTCGACGACTGCCAGTAGACCTCCATCCGGGGCGTCCTCGGACTCCGACATCATCGTTTTCGAGAAGTAGCTCTGAAAACGATCCAGGATGCGACTCTCGTCTTCGGCGACGTTCAACTGCCGCTCTTGAGGGAACTTCGCCGTCGTTGGGCTGGAGAAATCGCCGTCGACGGCCTGACGGCGCTCTCTTATCAACGTTTCGGCGCGAACGAAGCTATCGCTACGGGATTCTGGTCGCGGTGGTTGGTGCCGCTGGGGTCTCTCCATTCGTTGCTGGTGCTGGAGTTGGTGTTGAGGCTGATGTTGATGCTGCTCCTGGTGCTGATGCGTCTCGGGGCTCTGTTGGGATGTTAGACTTAAGGGAACAGCCGTCGATATGCCGCGGGAGGACGACAGAGGGCTCTGGAACGCAAGCGAAGCGCTTCTGCCTAATCTACTCGCTAAACTTGCTAGGAATCCCGGCGTCGTGTTTTCGGAAAGTGCAGGCTAGCCGGGAGCAAATTCACGAGTGGCGTGAAGTGGAACTTGTGAAGTTAAATGACTATTTTAGTTCGTGTTCTCGATGAAATGATCGCTCTAGACTACTTGTCAGCACTTCTAGTCAACGGAGACTTTTTGCAACCTCTGGTATTCTACATTCTACATGACTAAAGCTTCTTAGAGTCCCACCAACGTTTCCTATAAGCGCTTCTGGTATACCCAACCGGACGCAGCCGAACTCCTGGCGAACGTCCCTAAGTTACCTTACCTGCCCGTCGTTAACTTTCCGGAGCTCGTATCCCCTCTTGACGGATACAAATGGCCTTTCGTTGACGCTCTCAGCCCGAGGCCTTCCGGTGGTGAGTGCACCACTTCCGGCGCCGTTGTACTTCCTGCTGCTGGATCTTCTTGGAAGTAGGGGGCTCGCCGGAGCAGAAGTGTAGAGGGCAGTCCTTGCCGGGAGCTGAAACGACCATTTTGCAGGTTCATGTCGAAATTTCCGGCCAGGATGAGATGACCCCTCGCTCTATCACAGACTGAAGGGACCGTTTCCCGAAGAGGTGCGATCGCACCATCCTTACCTGACCGGAAATGGAGCTCGGTGTCCATGGATTTTCGTCGTCATCGTCCAAAACTGCGGAGTCGCTCGCATATCCGTCGTACCTTAGTCTGCTCTTCTGCAAGCTTCTCAGCTCCCCGATCACCCGATTTCCGGACTCCTGCCTCCATTGTTTGATGGGACACTTTTCGTCCCTCCTGGCGGCGAGCTTCATCTGTTGCTGCCTCAGCCACGACAGTCTGAAACCCGCGGACGTTCAAACACGATAAAAACGATAAATATTGACACGACGGGAATAAATTTCCCTAACTCCGGTACACCGGCCGATTTTACAGCTAAGGAGAAAGAAACTGACAGGAAAAAAAATCCTCCGACATTTCTAGGCTTTCCTGAGAAGCTGCAATCTCCCAACTGAGGAGTTGCGAATACGTTGCAAAACCGTCGCCATCAACGGCAACCCGTTCTGCGCAAACAACGGCGACAACAACGAGGCCACGGTCCTTACGCGCGTGCCGTTACATCATCACCGAGAAACGTCGTTACAGACTTCGAGTCTTTGCGAAACAATTGTTTATCCGGGTTGGATAAATATTGTTAAGGTGACTGTCCCGATAACCGACCAGGTGCCAGGAGCAGAGCACCCATACACGAATGCTTATAAGAAACAAAAAGAAAAAACAGGCAACGCCTCCTGGCACATTCGCCAAATTTGTTGTGCAAAACGTATAGTCGAGGCGTCATTTGTTTGCACAAATGGGAATGCCAAAGCGGAAGTAACTCCACGTTGACATATTGTTTTTCAAAAACGTGCATCTCTTTTGCAACGACCAGGATACGGTGTTCTGGTAGTTGCCGAAGAAGGTTTCGAGCTGACTCACCCATCCGCGTGTTCCACGGTGGATTTCGTTGTTTCACGAGAATTAGCGAATTCTGGAGGTGGGTCGGGGGTGTTGGGGTCGACGGGGCTGATGGCTCTGCGGGAGTCCTCGGAGTCCCCCAGGACGTCGCCAAAGTCGACGACGGGAGCTGCGCCCTTCAAGGAGACCCTCCTCACCAGCGATGGCGAGGAGAGCTTCCGTTGCTTTATCATGTCCGTCGTGGCTCCGTAGGTAAACGGCTGGCCGTACTGCCTCGCGTGATAAGGAATGTCCTCGTCGATGTAGTCGATGTGTCCTGGTGGCGAAAAAGACTCCGGGTGCTTTCGGAAAGTGTCCGAGGACTCTGGGGTCCTGCGTTCTGGCGAGCTCCGGAAGTCGACCGTGTCGAAGGTCGAGATCTCTTCCCTACGGTCCATCAAGTGTCTCCTGGGGGACGTCGAATCCCTGTACTCGTTCCCGGAGTAGTACGGTGGGCTGCTCTCTTTGGTCACCAGGTAATTCTCGCAGGACGACGAGTGCAACGTGTTCCCGTAATTCCGCGTCTGCTGTGGGGTGTACAGCTTCTCGTTTCGCTCCTTCCGTCCGTAGTCTTCGGAAGGTGGATCCGGCATCGACTGGAGAAGACAGAGAAACCATAAACCAACGTATTCCAAGATATACCAAAAATCGCGAAAAGAAACTCGGCGCCTCGGTGGGTACGCAGTGTAATTGGCGCGAAACGCGACCTTAGTCTCTTAAGGTTTCGTGAAAGTGGCATTTCACGGATCGATTTGAATTACTCATAAAAAATGTAATAAGTGTGTGCAAAGAGATTAAAAAGAAAATGTTAAAAAAAATGAAATCTCACGTATTCCAGGACCTCCATTAGAGCCTTCGTATTCACGTGATAAAGTTCCAAGCAATTAAATATATCCATTTCGAAAGAAAGTTTCACAAACGAGACCCTTCGAATACCCTTTTCACGTCACCTTAAGGTAGGGTTACGGGCGTAACAATGAAACATAGCGACAAATCCATGCAAACCAATATCTACAAATTTAATCGAAGTCGAACTCTAGGAAGAACTCGGTGCAACCGCACGTATAACAAATCGCTACGATATATCGTTACACGTATAGTCGCCTTAATACTTGACGCTCCTCCTCCTAACATTTTTCCGCGTTTATGGAGATATTTACTGCACTCGCGTCAAAGTGATATACCGACCAGAGTCTGAAAATAAGAATTACCTCGACGGTAAGCATCATGTCGTGCAAGAGCTTGTCGAGGTCGCCGTGAATCTGGCTCTCCGTCCCCGGCTCTGGGGGACTGGGTCGTTGAGGTGGGGCGCTGCTGATGCCGCTGTCCATGGAAACCGTCAGCGGGGATCCGCGAGCGCCGCCGCCAGTTCCCTGGTGAACCACCGCGTAGAGGGAGCCATCTATCGGGCCGCAGGTGTAATCCAGGTGTCCCAAGCCACGTGGTGGCGCGGTCTGCAGGGTCTGCAGGGAGTGCAGCGTCTGCAGAGTCTGCACGGAGTTGTTCGGCGGTGGCGGAGGCGGCGAGAGCGGCGTTTCGCGGCCTTCTGAAACGCGGATGCGTCGTCAGCGTTCGGCAAAGTCTCCTCTCCTTCTCCTTCGCTCAATTGGCCAATTGGCCGCTAATGCAACATACACCGCCGTTGAGAAATTCTCAGCTGCGCGGCCCGCTTTTAATGGATAACCTTCCGCGGGGATGGGACGCGTAGATCTTAGAATCAGACCATGGGATCTCATGGTGAATCCCGCTCGGCTGATGTCCCCCCATCAGGTTCCGCGTCACCTTGGATCATTTTTTCGATCGCGACGTCCAGCTCTCCAGTCGCGAGCGCTAACGATTCGCCTAGGTCGTCTCGTTCACCTCAGCTTTTCCCATAGAAGTCGGACCGGAGACTTTCCAAGTTGGCCTTATACCGCGAGAGACAAGAAGTCTCCTTTCCTCGTACTCGGATACCCGACGACCGGTAGAACGGATCGTTGGACGTCGCTTAAGGGGACGCGGATCCTCCGGGTGCCGCTGGAAGAGGTCTCGAAATCCGAGGCATGGGGTCCAGCTTCTGGAGAAGGAGGTCCCTCATACCCTGGACCCTCGATGTTCCCTTCGACTTGTACCGAGATTGGGCGTTAATGTTCATGCATTCATAACCAAGCTAATTTTGGGGCCGCCCTGCAGCTGAGTTTCGGTCCACGCCTGGCACAGCGAGCGTGGCCGGGCTCGGAATGATATCACCGGCCTGATATCAGGGCAGGCCGGCTACCGAGTTACCCGAGTCCGAGGTAATGCATTTATCCGCGGCCCAGCGCAGTTATTAACACTTTGCCCTCTTGCGCAACCCCGCTTGGATATGTCGTGGACCAAGAAACGGCTCGGAAGACGAAGGGCGATGCCAGCTACGAACTTGGCTTCTTAAAAAATCGAACGCGAACCGATGGCCGACAGGTCGGAGCGTAAAGTAATGACGCGACGGTTGTTCACTCAGAAATCAGTGAAAACGATTACCTTTGATTTCATATGATAAACAGCAACGTGATTCGCTAACAAGCGTTCGGCCTTAAAATCTCGGCAATGTTTCGATGATTTTCAACGATTTCCGGTATTAAAGTCCATGATTTCCTGAGTGAATATCTCCTGGAGCTAAACTCTTGAAAAGTTAAGCCTTTTAGGGAAGATCAAGCACTGTAGCAACTGAACAAAACCAATAAAGTGTATGGAGAGATTGTGATAATAGAAAGCACGAAGGAAAACCGTGGAGAGAAAATAGGAATGGGAGTGCAGCCGAGTCCGATACCACATGTCTATAGTTAAAGGTCAATACAATTCATCAATGCGACAATCCAGAACGAATCGGTTCACTAAGAATCACGTATAGTGCGTAAGGCCAGTTCGTCGCATCGGTAAATTTGGACCATGGACGTAGGATATACGGACCCCGACGACTCCGTTGATATTCTTGTGATTGCAGTAGGATTAAAAGAAGGCAAACAAAAGACGATCCCTTCTTTCTTCTATCTCTCTCGCTGTCAGTTAGTCTATCATCACATTACTCTACGCAACTGTGTTCGTAAAATCAGAGGAAAAGATAGTGTTCCATGTTTTCAGTGTCTCGATCATTCCGCCGTCCCAGTCGAATCAGCATTCGGGGTCCATACAACCTACGCCCATGGTTTGGACACACTGGCGCCCCACGAATTGCGAACCTCAAACCGCACGATAGTTCGTGATCGAACCACTTATGGGATGTACAGGGCTCAACGAAAGACGCAAGCAATTGGTCCACCTCCCTCGATTGGGAAGACGGAGTCGCGGCCAGGTAACATAAGCGACAGCCTCCCCGAGGCCAATCCAGGCCCACCAGGTCGTTTATAGTGCCCATGAAACTCGATTCTAACTTATCCCCCCCATAAACTCGACCATGCACCCATGGATCACCTCTCGGAAACAGGCCGAGACAAATTAACACGGGACTCAAGACCGGACCAACTTCACGCGGCGTCAACTTCCATCGGACACCACGGCACTGCACCAATGCCCGTACAATATGGCCAGAGAAAAATCAGGCAGCGGCGTGCCGTTGCTCTTACATGGTCAGAAAAGTCGGAGACCGCGGTACGGTAACCATTACCGTACCATTAACCCGTACAATATGGTCAGAAAAAGCAACGTTCCGTTCGGACGGCGCCGAAAGGCGTTCCCACGCATTCGGCCGGTCCCAGGAGGGAAATCGGAGACCGGCCGAATCCGCGGTCTCTGGTCCCGCGGGACCAGACCGGACCCCTACTTGTATGGGCACCTTAAAAGCTGCTCCCGACGGCGCACCTCGTCTGGTCACCACGAGCTCGAAGGAGATACTGCGCCGGCGCTCTCTCCTCTTTCGCGCTTCCTACGCGAGGCAAGGCTCGCCGCTCCCTTGGCGTGTTTTTCGCGCGCGTGTCCCCGCGTCCGTTCGTATGCGTGAACATCTCCGCGATTGCCGCGCGCGCGCGCTCCCCTCGGTCGAGCTCCTTTCTCGATTATCTTTTTACGATTTATAAGACGAGGAAAAAGTAACACCGCTCTTTGATGGACGTATTTATCGCGCTCTTTACAATGTCGTTCATACTCGATTTCGGGCCCTCTTCCTTCTTCTGAACCTCGTTTGTGAATCGTGCTCGAGCGGTATACAGGCCGAGGCACTTAACTTTACGACCCAGATCATCTCTATATGGTCGGGGAAAAATGATTCGTAACCGAGAGAGGAAGACGGGAATTAAATACGCGGACTCTGTTGAACCGCGGGAATGCAGAAGCATTGATTGTCACTTGCGCTCCTCTTGCGCCGAGAGATAAATGAAAGACTTTTAGGGGAACAGGGTTCCTAATTCGTTTGAAATTTTACTGAAGGAACATGGAGGCCCTAAAGAAGGTGCCGACCCTCGTGAACCGTTAACTTCCTTAAATTCGTTTATAAACATTCATTTAATTTTTATACGAAATGAAATTTCATAGGTGTCAGGACTTTCCTTAGGGCCTCCATACTCCCTCGGTGAAGTTTCAAATGATTCGGTACACCCGGTTTGGAAAAAGGTCTCACAAACGATCGACCCCTCGGACGCCCCTTTCGTATCAGCTTTAGAGACAAAAGATAAACCTCTGTCGATTTTCATCCGGACAAGCCCTCTCTTAGGTAACCTCCTCCGTTTCTATAAGCTCCATGGTACATCCTGTACTATATATTACAGTATTTTCTGCGCGAGAGCGTCCATCGTGTCGCGTGATCAACTGCGAGCCGTATCGATGTGCAGCATCCGCGAGTACCGGGAGGCGCGCCTGCAGTACGGTGCAAGACGGTGCACTGTACAGCACTGTACAGCACCGTGCAGTGTGCTGCAAAGGAACCAACAAAACCAACGAATACGAGTATGGGTGCTGGACTCGGAATCGAGCCGAAGTCCCTTGTCCGACCATGTACGGCAAGGCTCTGAACTTCGCGAGTCCCCACCGACAGAGAATCGAGTACTTAAGTACTTGCAGTAACGTTCGGGTCCCCCGACTTGCGGAATTGTACCCTGGCAAAGACCGTACCAGCTGCACTTAGAGGTCAAAAAACGCATATTCATGCCTGCTCACGTCCTTCGACAAATATTCGCCGACTTTCAGGCCGATGAAGCTGTTCACCGCTCGCGCGAGTCTGCGCCAAGAGTATGCGCGAGTATTCGTCGAATAAAAAATCTCGGCGTAAGTGGCGATTAATGTCACCGAGCCTATATAATGTGGGAATCTACCGCGTCATTACGCGCACGCGTCTTCGTTTCGATGCAGATATCGCGGAGATTAAAATCGCTCCTTAATTACCATTATATACCCTGGTACGCGCATCTCTCCTTCGGCCTGCCATACGTAAATCCAGGGCCGTGTAATAACGCGTGACAAAACGTCGTCTGCCTTATGAGCGCCGAACCGGGTGAAATGTCTCGTAAACGCGAAGTATGTTCGTTAACCGCGCGAAAATGTAAGTCAGCCTCGGTTTGCCTATGAACGGAGATTACGCACTACTCGGTGTCGAAAGAAAAACCAGCGATGCCGTAAGAATCGCGCGAAAGTTTGCATATACAGCCTAAGAGTATCGAGCCAACTTAAAGCCATACTGAAGATAACATTTTCATTTGACGAAAAAAAGCTCGCTTACACAGCCGAAGAGTATCGAGCCAACTTAAAGGCGCTCCGAAGGTAACGCTTTTCATTAGATCAAGGTCCAGCCATCGCGAAACGTGGACGTTGGAATATGAATAAAGGTGCAGGAAGAGCAAGAGAAAAACAGGCGATCTACATAATCGCGGGGATAACCAGTCCGGGGATTATCGATGTATCGTAACCTCCCACTCGCTGCCCTCGAAACGCGCGCCGCCATCTTGGGCGAGGACGCCGACCACGTGACACGGTCACGTGACCCCGGCCACGTGACACGGTGAACTTGTATCGGAGATTAATATACAAAAACGTATGTATATCGTTGCAAGCAACTAATTTGCGTGCCCAATGCCGGATCGGGCCCGAAAGCGGTGTCGTCATCTTCGGCGACGCCCAAGTAAACGACGCTAGGCGTCGTCTCGCGTCGGCCAGGCCGTACGTAGTATTCCTAGCCGGCGACTTCAACTGGGACAAGGACGCGAGCTCGAGGGATTCGTGAATCGCGCGTACGCGTGACACGCGACACGCACGACAGACACGACTCGGAAACGACGCCGAGGTACTTAAAGGGGCTCCTGACGATCCGGCACGCGCATTAACCTCGAATTTTGGCCCGTGCGTGTCTGGCTTACGGATGTTAATATCGTTTTGAGGAAAATCTTTACATTTTTCTGTTCTTTTTTTTTTCAGGAGGGTGATAACTTTGACTCGTCGGATCATCGCATAAGATATGAATATTCAAGTAAGAAGATCGAACGAAGAAGGAGGATGCATCGCGCATATCTGGTTCACACATACGATGAAAACGTTTCAAGGATGACGTCGAAATTTGCATTTCTTTTTATATGTACGTGGTTATAATTCCGACGCCCCGGACCATCCGAAGAGATATGGACATTAATTAATCGATCTTGAAGATGCACCGGTAGAAGAGGATGCATCGTGCCGTGTCTGGACTGCGCACAGTGAAGTCGTCTCGATCGAAATCGAAAAATATTTAAATTTACGTTTCACGGGAGAGCGGTCATAATTTCGCCGCCTCGGACCATCACATAACGTGAGGATATTTATTAATCGAGCCCGAGGAATCATCCGAGGCGAAATTATTCCCCGGGAGAGAAAAGTCAGCGGCGATGGAGGCTTTAAGAGCGGCGCGCACGCGACGAGACGACGGATCGAGGAACTGGCTGAAATTACAGACGAGAAGGAGCGCACACGCAACGGCAGATCCCTTTCTTACCGATATTCGCGGTCAGAGAATACCTACAAGAGCCACCGGCAGTTTCCGCCCTTTCCTTCCGTTCCCATGTATTACAAGTAGAAGCTCCGCCAGGGGAGGGCCTGGATTCCGATAATCTCTTCGTCCCGGCTTCCCTTTCCGCGGTCGGAAGAAACGCAGGAGGAAGGCGAAGAAAAAAGCGGAGGGGCGGAGACACCGGGAAGCTCGTTATCGTCTCTCTCCCGGGGGATAAAAAAAAAATAAAGTGTCTCGTTAACGCGGCAGGACGCAACGGGGTGACGGTGTTCCTCGACGGAGTTGAGATGGGGGGGAAAAAAATTCGTGTAAACATTTTACTCGAGACGATAACTGGCTCGCAGGCTGCTCTTTAGTCCTGGCGTGCGTTGCGGTGCAGCGTAACTCGCGCAAGGATATTGGCCGCACTTAACCTAGTTCGAGAAGGGCCTATCGCTAGAGATGAGTTCTGGTAAATATCATCGCGCTCGTACAGCCACGCTTTGAGAACATCCGGCCAATATCAAAATGGGGACGCAAGGGCATTATTAAAAAGAGGTAGCATTCCTAGAGGTCCGGAAGTATCGATGAGATACCACTAGAAAAGAAGTTCAATCCGTGCAAGGATGGTGTCACGAGTCAATAGATATTTGGATCTCGAGCGTTTATCCCCTCTTTCGAAATTTCAAGAGTCCTTTTCTGCCGTTCTTTTAACGTTAACGGATTCGTCTTGTATGTCCACGATTATGGGAGCGTCCGGCCAATATTAAAATGAAGATGCACGGGCGTTATTAACAAGAGGAAAACGTCCTCAGAGGACCTGACGGACGAATGAGGTGCCACGCCAAGAGACGTCTAATCCGTGCAAGAATGGCGTCATAAGTCAACGGATATTTGGGTCTCGAGCGTTTATTCCGTGTTTCGAAATTTCACGGCTCGTTTTCTACCGTCCTTTTCTCGTTAACGGATTCGCCTTTTAGAGACCCGTCCGCCTCTTTCGGACTTCCCGGGGCAGCTTAAGACTTTCTAAGAGGAAACTTTCCCGCGAGCCGGAGCGAATCACGCAAGGCCGGACGGGCTTTCGGTTTGCCGTTTTTGGGAGAATAGAAGTAGCCGTTCTGCCTTTTCCGCAGCCGGATACGAGCGAGTCGCGTACCCTCGAAAAGACCACCTAGAGCGACCCTCGCTTTCTCTTCATCCCGGGAAAACGAATCCGCGCTCAAAGGACGCGCGCCCGGAGTGGACCAAAATGGCCGCCCGGGACCGAGTCCGCCCCGATAACTTAAACCCAGTTTTAATTTATTTAACCGACCAAGCGTGGCGATTACGATGCTACGAATACCGAGGGACGTTGCTAGCGATCGAAGGGACGGGAATTTAATTAAGCACCGACGAAATCAGTCCTTTTTTTACTCACTGGATTAGGCGATTAGGCGCGAGCTATTTGTCAGCGTTGGACCGGATCGACGCGGAACGTGGACGAGCGAGAGAGGATCGCGGAACCGAACTGAAGCTGACCGAAGCTCCGAAACCCACGTAGAGGAGAGGAAGAAAGCTTAAGCCCGATCCCCATTCGTGGCGTCTCGACTAACCGCGGCCAAGAATAACCTAGCCGCGCCCCACCGCTCCTACGACCTACTCCTCTTTCTGCTTCCATGGACTTCCCAGTGCTTTCCGCGCCCGTTCCGATTCCAGGAGAAATTTTCCATCGAGCTTCTGGAAGGCCAAGCTGCGCCTGGAACGCCTGCTGCAAACTGGAGAACGCAAACAAACGTTCCCGACGAAGACAAATTCCCTCGCGAGTGAAAATCCTCACTTGGCCGACGTACAATACTTTCGGCTATTCTAAATAAACTCAAAATCTTGACAAACAAATGTGTTGAGATTTTCGATACGTTAAGAACGTGTAATTATAACGAAGATATAATAAATCAAGGCATGCAAGCTCTGGCCGAGGAAAAGTCGGGCCCCTCGACCGGGCGACTTTTGGGCATCGCGTCTCTCGACGGCGGGTCCGAATTCTTTTTCTTCTTTCAAGAATCATCGATCTCTATAAATATGGCGATTCCTTCCGTATCGTGACTTAAGGCCGATCGAATACCCATTGTGAACGTCGCGTTTTATGGAGCGTGGGCACGTGAACGTGGGACGAGCTACGGAGGATAAGAGTTCGTTACACTTGCCGATCGGGAACGGAGCCGATTCCCTTCGCTCGACGGGACGAGTACTAAATCTACCGAAAACCGTGAAAACGGGACGTTAAAAGGCGAGGTCAGGTCTTTTTCCCATCAAGGAACGGTTACATGACGCTCGGACCAGCTCCCACCCATCGATCACCCCGAATCAGGCCCATCGAGTCCCTGGACTCCATGGATCGATGCCCGTCATCGATCGCCGATAACCCTCTCGAATGATTCGACCTTTGATCTATTTCCAGGCTAGGCGCCGGTCCGGGCGAGGTCGTTTCTCCTTCCTCTTCGCGAAACGTATTTCCGGTCGCGATTAGTCACCAGCGTCCAAATACGCTTCCATGGAGTCTTACGAACTGGACCGTAAACGTAGGTCCAGGGTGCAGCTTCTAGACCCTGATCTCTAAACCATGAGCTCCGAACCATGCGCCTGGACCCTTGCTCCCTCACCCATATTCTCAGAACCATTCAACTCCACTCACCGTAGACGTCTTCGTCGCTGGTCTCCAGGTTGGCGTAGCTGTCCCAATGCAGAATCGGGTCGTGGCGAGCGGAAGCATGGGGGACCGCAGGAGTTGGGGCTGGAACGGGACCATCTTGCAGTCTGGGGTCACTCGCGAAGTAAAGGGTCACCACACTGTCAGGAGGGCACCTGGGGTCATCGCACGCCACGTCCAGCTCGGACCTTGGGAACGCCACGACGTTCTCCGTGATGACGCATGTGTGGAACTATTTCCAACGAAACGTGATTAAGAAACGCCACGTTTCAGAGATCTTATAGGATATCGTGCGTCAAGGAGATAATGTAGGCATTTGTCAGACACGCGTGAGGTTTTCAGCACGAGCCGAAGGTGAGGGCACGCGAGTGTAGCCCGTTGCCGCCTACTTCATAAGTATTGCAAATGCCTGCTTGTCAACGAGGCGCACGCGATATTTTTTTACAAAATCCGCAAGTAAAATGGGATTTTTACACGCTTGTATAGCGTGTCGTGGTCGATTTGCAAATCTTGTCGATTCCGAGCCTCGCCACCAAAGTCGGGTTTAGAAGTAAACGGGGAGGGATGAAAATGAACGCGAAAAAGTCCTCGGTAGGAGAATTCCAGAGGCTCGATCTGCGCATGGGCAAGAGCTGTTTCACTCTCCGAACGCTCTACAGGCGTCAAATGTCGCACATTCCATATGGATATTGAAAAATAGTATACAATTTACCAAAATGGAAAGTGGGTCTTGTTACGTCCAACATTGACCTTGTAATGCGAGTCGAAGGCGAGTTTTGCAAGCATGTCGGACGTAAATAACCTTGCCTCCATGGTGAATACGATACTTTATATAACAAAAGCATGGTTTACGCGATTTTATGCGCATATGTGAAGTAAGAATATGCCACAGAAAGGGCAACTTTAGGCACCGAAGACAGTAGCGAAAAGGCGCGTAAACCATGTGTTATGTGAAAGCCTTTAATGTAATATTTCGTTCTTACCTGGAGGGCGAACATCGTCTCGCGGCTCTGTTTAGAGTAGACCCGGTGATAGCACTTTATCAGGATATCACCTCTGAGACGAAGTCCTCCAAGGTTCACGGTGAACTCCCTTGCATTCGTCACGGAGTAGAGATCGGAAGTGTAGACAGGGTTGAGGCCCTCGTAGACCTTGAGGAAGGCTCTGCAACCCGTGGGCTCAAAAAGAGGTACCCCGAGGACCGTCAGGTGCGTCAGGTACAGCGGCGACGAGCTGATCCTCAAAGACCCCGAGAGGAGGCCGCTGAAATACTCGATGTATCTGAAAATGGAAATGAATCCGGTTCACAAGAGCCTTCATTACCAAGGATTCGCCACGATTCATCGACAGGTGTTTGCTTCGGGTTTTCCCCTCGCTGGTCTGGAACGTTTTATCAATTTCTTAATTTTTCACGAACTTATCCAGGAGATCGGGGGACACGTGCTCCTCCACCTCCGTCGTAAGTATTCCTCCTCGGGGTTTGATGCTCTGGCCGATAAATTCGTACCTCCGGGCTCTTATCGATGCTAACGACATGCTAATGTTCATCGCTCGCGGAATTAATGGATCCTGCGAGCACGTCGCCAGGTCCGAATCCACATTACGCGCCCACTCGGGCGACCTGGGTTTCCTTATCGATAATACGATGCCCTTCGATCGAGAGACGGAAGACGCCCCTTCCTCGCGGTTTAATATATTCACCTTCGGTGGGACGGCACCCGGAGGGAGCCAATCTTGTCGTCGAGGAACCTCCTCATCGCAAACCTGTCCAGGTCCTGGTCGCTCCCCCCGCAGATGCTGCTGTAGTTCATGTACGCCGACACGGCAACGCCGAGACGCTCCTTGCTGCCCCTGAAAAAATCGTCCCAACGTTGAAAATAAATCCCTAGTCTCTTAAAGTACTCAGAAAATTATAGGTGGTTTAAGAGTTGAAATAAAAATAAAGGGAAGGACTCTTCAGGGTGGTCACCTCGCATGGAGAACGACGACCCGATTGAGGGCCGAGTTCAGCCAGGAGTCCAGCTCCTTGCAGAGGGCGCAGAGCCTTTCCAGGCCAGGAGCCAATCCTTGCGGCCATCCTGCTTCCCTCGTGTTTGGCTCGGATCTTCGTCCCGGTGAAGAGAGGTTAAAGATCTGCGGATAATTCGAAATCAGGTCTAACGTGAGGCCAAAGTATTCAGGGGAGAACTTAGAAAAATAGCGAGCACGAACAGTTTCCGTTTCCTCACCATATAATTGTTGGCGTGTTTCCCTCTTAGGAGGTTCGTCGCACGCTCCAGGACCCCTTGGGCGTCGTCTCTGTACCACAAGGCGATAATTCTCTCGGTGACATAGCAGAGCTCCATCACCTCGCCCACCCGGGCTGCTTTTCCAGGGAAGACGGTCGCAGAGTCCGCCCCGACGCCCGGCGTCCTCGGCGGCGTCGCGGTCTGCGCCTAAAACAGCCGAAAGTCGCGGAAAACCGTAAAAAACGACGCAACCACCCTCTGCCTGGGGAAAATCAACGGGCGTGTATTTTTAGACGCCTTTGGAGGACCTGGTGCAGCCCGACGTCGCCGAAAAACACGTATCGCGGTCGACCATCTGCCAAACGTCTAAGACAACATGGCGGGCCTTGGAGGGCGTCGGAAAGGGCCCCTCGATGTTTATTTAGCTACGTTACGTTACCGTTAACGGCCCCGTAGTCACTTTGTAACGCCGCGAAAGATCGGGTAAGTCAATAACGATTCGTCGTCGGTGTGTTCCGAGTATGTTAAGTTAAGAAAGTAAATAAAGCCCTGACGCCCCCGCCGGAGTTCCGGAGCGGCGCTCCAAGATGGCGGGCGACAGACGCGAGAATTCACCTGGGTGACTTTCGGCGCGTAAAAAATCCGCAGAACCGTCGTTCTCGTCATGGTTTAGCTTGGCTTGGCCCGATTTCTTCGAATCGTCGATCGCTCTTGGTCGATCGAGAGGAGGAATCGCCCGCGAAAGCAAGATGGCCGCTCGCGTCACAACGAGGAACCACTAGCGTCAGTTTACTTTTATGCTTTAATTATTGTTGCCACCAAGGATTTCGTTAACTTAAAGTTACTCTCGATATTCTTTGCACTCTAAAAAGCCTCTTTGACTTGATTTCGCGTTCTCCTTGTTCCCTTCTTCGCGTATCTTCTCTGTGCGTTGCGAGCTTGCGGGATATAGATCGGGTTACTTCATTTTACAATCCGGATTATCTCGGTACGGTTAATTATCATTATTCTTAGCCAGTCTAGAGTTGCAGAAGGAAATTAAAATCCACAGAACCATTGTTCTCGTCATGGCTTGACTTGGCTCGATCTCTTCGAATCGATGATCGCACTTGGACGATCGAAAGGAGGGATCGCCCGCGAAAACAAATGGCCGCTCGTCCAACTACGAACGACCACTAGCGTCGCTTTACTTTTGTATCTTGATAATCTCTCGTACCAAGAATTCTCGTAACATTTAATTATCTTTATTTCCTGCACTTGGCAATGTCGCTTTGACTCGACGTCGAGTCCTTGTTCTCCTCCTCGCGGACCTCCATTGTGCGTCGCGATCTCCCGACATACAGGGCAAGGCACTTAATTTAACAACCCAGATCATCCTTGTACGTTTAGCGGACAGTTATTCCTAACCGAGAGATGTAGACAGGGATTAAAATCCCCAAAACCATTGTACTCGTAATGGCACGATCTCTCGAAATCGTCGATCGCAAGGAGGGATCGCCCGCGAAAACAAAATGGCCGCCGCGCAACAACGAACGACCACTGTACAGATAAATACGACATGACGTCCCGTAATTATCTCGTTTCGACCGTCATGGCCATCAAGAATTCCGGTGATATTTTCCTCTCGTTAGTTTTCCCACTTGCGGAACATTAATCTTAGCGGAGGAGGATTGGATGAAATTTGTCGGCCGTATAACGGCCATGGCCACGTCGGGGAGGATTCGTTAACGACGTTTACGGGCAATAGGATCCCCGTTCTACGGTTCCTGCGAGATCGCCGCTATTTCGTGAAGTAAGACGCGCACCCGCGAACATAACGACTCGAGCTCGTGTCCCGTGTAACGGCGAACAACTGCTGATAGGTGTCGGTCGTTCGCGAGCTGGTTTCAGCTCCGCGTTATACATCGTTCTTCCGTGTCGCGTCGTGTCTCCCGTTGCACTCGGCCGTCCATCTACCAACGACGCACGTGCCGCTCGCGGTCGTGTAACGACTGCGGAATTGTATGCTCTGACGCAACGGATTCGCGGGCGTTTGAGCGTGACTCCTGGGGCACCTTCGAGAATTCTCAAAGTTCGCTTTCAGTACCGAAGACGACCCTGAAGACCCCGCGAGGCGGAACGACCGTAACGTCGCGTGTGCAACGGCAATTAACGGCCTCGACGTGAAAGTCGATTAAAGGCTCTCCTCGACGATAAATCCGAGAAAAACCGTCGGAATAATTTACTTAGTCATGACTAAACAAATCGGATGTTTGGGTTTCGGATTCGACTCGCCGTTTAATGGGCCCGGGTCCAGTGACGTCAAAGTCCCCTTAACGATTTGATGTATAATTTTTTTTTCAGGAATCTATGTTTGGGCTAAAAAGTCGGCGCGTGACCGTCCCGACCCTTGGGATTGAAACTTCTTAAATTAAAGGGAATTATTATTAATTATTCTTAATAGTAGTAAATACGCGTTCGAAACCGATTGTTTTGGACATATCAGTACCGACGCATGAAGATGAATGTAGTAATTTACTGTATGGAAAAAAAAACACATTGCGTTCCAATTTTCGATAAAGTCCCGTTTCATAACGTGCGAACTTACGCGTCCTATCGTGCCATAAATAGGTTCAGTTAAAAGTGTATGTCAAGTTTCAGGGACAAACTACTCCATTATCACGTAGTTGGATTTATTTGGTTTACGTATCAATTTTATCATTTTTAGATTTGTTGGGATGTGGCAACAATTACGTCAACGTTTGAAATATATGGTCTGTCATCGGATAGGATCATCATGCGGTAGCGTATTAAACCTTAAACGGAAATTGAGTCATTGTGTCTCAATGTCATCTTTTTATAAATCTACACTTCACATATGCAAACGCTTTACCATATTCTCACGTAGGTAGTTGCGATTAACAATAGCCGGAACGAAAAAAAATCTCTTATTTGAAGATAGATAAATACATTTTTTGTATACGTTTATGTGATGGCGTTCAGTCAAAATCACTCGATTTCCGTTTAAGGGTTAAGGTAATGTGAAAGTACCGTCAAGGAAGTCCCGTTTGTGAAACTTTTCCCCGAATTGGATATACCGAATCATGTCAAACTTTACAGGGTAAATATAGAGGTTATAAGGAATGTCCTGACGCCCATAAAATTTCAATTTTTAAAAAATTTCTTCTTAGATATTTTGTATAAAAAAATATTTTGTATTAAAAAAAATGAAATTTCATGAGGGACAGGACCTTTCTTATAGCCTCTATATTCACGTTGTAAAGTTTGACACGATTCGGTACACCCAGCTCGAAGAAAAGTATCATGTACGATTTACCCTTCGGATGCCACTACCACATCCCCTTAAGGAGAGTTTGCGCGCGGATCCTGTTTGCGTTCCAGTAATTCCGAGGGCTGTCGTTGGGTCAGATAGGTCGTTAACGCCGATCTAGTCCGACGTCGATCGACAGTCGCAACGGCGGAAAAACGCAACAGCATAGACGCAAGAACGCAACGGCGGGTCACGGTCTGAAACTTGACCGAGGCCGCTCGAAGACTTTGCGGGCGTAGGGAAAGATCGCTCTCCGGCCGGAGGACTTTTACGAAAAGGGAGTGAAGCTGCGTGGAACGGCACCTGCGGTGGGGCCGCAGGAAACGAGTAATGTCGGCTTCGTGCGAGGGAACGTAACGGGCAGGGATTCGTTACGAGAGGCTACGGTGTTTTGCGGGCCGAACGTTAGCCACAGCCGCTAGGGAACTCGGGTTACGAGGAGGCTCGTAAAAACGTATTTTTAGAGACGCACGATTCCCGGGACTTCCCGCGAGATCGGCGGGCTTTCGATTCGCGGCCGTTAGACCGCTTCGAAGAATCGGCGGAGCCGGAAGCGGCCGTTTAAGGTGAAGTGAAACACGTCGAAGAACTTGATCGACTTCGATAAACAAGATTTTTCTAAATGCCTACATTGCCGACGTTCGTTTTTATATCGACAGCTGTATCGAATTATATTGGGTATTGTACCAAATGGCATACTCCACCTGTCGTTTTCGTACAATAAATATAAAGAAATCGAAGTAAAACTCCAGAAATCCTCTGGATTCATGCTTTCTGGAGCCCTAATTGACCGCAGAGGGACCCCCTGCGCCATCTGCGATTTCCAGGTCAATTAAATTTTCACTCCGAGACCTCATATTCCCATCGTTTTGGCATAGAAGCGCATACAACACTTTTTTTGCCTTTATCCCGTTCAAATGCTAGTTTATCGATTACCAGAATCTTCTAAATTGTCGTAAAATTGTCCTGACCCTTTCAATTCTCATATCGGAGCCTTCGATAATTGCATATTGATCGAAATATAAGAGCTCGACGCCATTTTGGATCTGGTCTGGGCTGAGTTAAAAAGTTTTGTTGAAAAATCCAAAGTTTGAATGTGTCAGGATAATTCATAGATGATCAGGGGTGATGTGTCAAAGTTTCAGACAGTTTGGTCTAATACCTATAAAAAAAAGTGTTGTATTCGAATCGACTGATTTGAAGGGTGTTTCACTTGACCTTAACGGCCGGAAAAGATCGGCCGGCGAAACCGCGTCGGCCGAGCCACGTCACGTAGAATCGTCGGAAAATTCGAGCTCGCTGCGATTCGAGTTACCTTATCGGGATTAGGCGTGCGAGCTCGTATAACGCGGCCCGCGACAACAGGCTCCGCCGTTAACGGCAAAACCGGAGCCGCGTTGTGTTTCCATGGAGGCGCGGACATTCCGGGGGCGTTAAACGCGCGATCGGCGATAAACAATTCGGCGTTAAACGAGGACGCGTCGACGTCGGCCGACGGAGCGACTCGGGGAGGCTGACGTTGACGTGCAATTAAATATTTAGAGAAGAGGGAGGCGGGCATAACGACTCGCGAAGTTCTTATCTTGCTCGAGGTAAACTTCCGGCTTAGTTACGGATCGTTTTCAGGGGACCTTGTCTCGTTAGACTTATTGTTAGACAATTGCCCGTTAATTGAGCCGTTCCTAGGCCATAGTGATTGACTTCCATCTTGGATTTTTCTTCCTAATTTCAGTGTCAGATCGATGCTTAACTTTTTTTACTTATCACTTTCCTGTACTCCGCTTTTCTTTTTTCTTTTTTTTTTCGTGGAGTTAATCGGCTTGGCCAACGGACGGCTCGACTCGTCGCGATATAAAAGGCACTAACCCGTTGATTCGCTCTGTAGATCCCGTTGCCGGCGTTCCTGGTCCTCGGCTCGTACACCCCATTGTGCTGTAACGAGAAAAACGATCCGTTAAACGGGCGAATCTCGAGGAAGCTCCGTTGCGAACGATTCCGGCGATATTAAAGTGGCGTTTAAGGAGCCTCGTTAATGCAACTTTTCTCTAAACTGGGTGTACGGAATCATTTGAAACTTTACCACGTGAACATGGAGGCCATAAGAAAAGATCCAACGCCGATAAAATTTCATTCTTTTTTTTTTCTTTGTTAAATCTATTTATAAACATTCTTCATTTCACTGTAAATGAAATTTCAGGAGTATCAGGACCTTCCTTAGGGTCACCCTATTCATATGGTAAAGCTTCACAACAGTTCGGTCCACCCAGCTCGGAGAAATGTTTCTCAATCAATTCACCCGTGAAACGTCACTTTCATGTCACCTTAACGACGTGTCACGTGGTCGCGCGTTCACGCGCGTGCTCACGCACCTCGCGCTCTATGTGAAGGGCCGTGTGCCAGACCGTGAAAGCTATCCTATGGAGAAGCGTCCCGGTGCCGACGCCGGCGGCGTCGGGGTGGTCCCGAGGACGAAGCCTCCCGACGGAGAACTCCGCGTCCTCGTCGTCGTTATCGTTATCATCGCCGTCGTTACCGTCAGGCCGGCGGAAACCCGCGTTACCGTTTTCACTGTCATGGGCAGCGTCGCCATTCGCGCGCGCCCTTAGCCAACTCCGAGATAACGAGCCGTTGCACGAGTTCGTCATTCCGTTAGCCCGTCTATGCAACGCCGTTAAACGGCAAAATCTCGCGACCAGTCGGGGATCATTATGACATGAGATACTTGTCGATGAGCGCGAGTGTTACTCTTACGTCTGGATTCACACATACCCCGCAAAAAGTAACCATAATCATATCAGGAAGAGCTGGTTAATGCAATTGCCGAAATAGGTCGTTATATTAAATTTCCTTCAATTTGATTTGCCGGTTCTTATCTCTATCGATGCACCACGGTTAACTCGAGGTACGTGCGTGTGATGGCTTAAAGGTCTTCACACATACATACCTGGCATAAAGTAACCGGAAGCATAGGCCAGAACGGTTACGCATAAGTCTAATACGCGGATCCAAGAGCGGTAAGCAAAAGTTGACGATGTCAACGGTTTATTAGAAACGAAACTCTGTCCCACGTATGTAACAGTTTGCATAGCCGCAGAGATTCCGAAATAGTACAAATTTTGTTCGATCATTCCCGTATATTAAAACGGCGCTTTATGTCTGGTAATTCGATTGGCCAGGTCGTTAAGGCTGTGCTCACGGGTACCGTATTGCGAATTACGTGCGAAGGCCTTAACGGCGGTTCAACCCTGCCCAGTTATACCAACGTTTAGGAGTCCCCAGTAATTTAGCCATTTCGACCAGCTTTTTAACACTATTTCTACCAAAGGTGTCAAAAGACACCTTTTAAAATTTTAACTTGAAATTATTTTCAGTTTAATAATTTTTTCTCAATTAATGTTTTGAGTTTTCGTATAATAATTGTTAAATTTATTTAGCGGTATCATTTTCCTCCAGCTCATCAAAACCTTTTGGTCGAAATAGGTATACACAAAATCGTGGTAGAAATAGTGTTAAGCCACTCTCTCTTCTCCGGGACACAGTTACGCCTGAGCTTCGAATTTCACGAGAATTCTTCTCGGTCCATACTCCGGCATATCAATTTCCGGACGATTT